TTTTAGCATTAGTCTACAATATTCAACTAAGAAAAATTATTAAGCATACCATCTATTCACATAACAAGCAGCATTTATCCAACAATAAAAATGACAATATGGGCAACAATGAGGTTTATTTTAGTATCAAGCTTACAGTCAATCAATTTGGACAAAAAAGGAATCAAGAATTAGTTTTTAATCACTTGGAAGAAAAAAAGCAAGATGAAATGTGTGGTTATTAATTACATGCTTGGCACACCAAGATCATTATCTCTTCACACATAAATCAAAGAAAACCTTACAAAAGTATTTTACAAAATAAGTAACAGTCAACTTAACAGACCTATAGGAACAGCTAGTTGGGAAGTTATCCATGCTGATCCGATTCAACATCAGTAATGGATCTCTTTCTCACAGTTTCACGCAGTCAGCTCCAGTCTCTTGGAGGAGTTCTCACTCAAAGGCTTTACAGAACCTACAGCAGAGGCAAGCTGCTATTCCCTGCTGGCTGTATGGTAAGCTGGAGTGATCCTTATGCTCCACAGAAAAGGGTCTTTCAGCTCGCAGAAGAATGTTCATTACTCTGTTCTTAGTGCCTTCCCCGAGCTCATACAAAGTTTACATTAAAAAAAACTCTTGAGTTGCATTTTATTTCATCTAGCAATTCTGGTTGGTTTTGATTTTGTTTTCTACAATTATTGTTCAAATTCAAGTATTAGTTCCCATTAAAGGTTTTATTATGCCCAGCTACACCTATAGCTATTTCCTTCTCATACATTTCAAGTCAATGTATTGGCAATGTGTTCTACCCATCACAAAGCCACCATGAATTTCCCAGCATCATGTTCAAATTCTTTTAAGGCAGCACATTTCTTTAAAATATCACCATTCACTAAGAAGGCTACAGTTCTGCCACAGGACAAGCTCATACAGATGTCTATTACTAATAAAATTCCACTAAGTATTTGGTAAATCCAAGCAACTTCAGAAACTACTCAGTGACCTACATCTGCAGTCCCATATTTTGAATAAGACTTGGGACAGAAAAAGAGTAGATTATTTTCAGCTTTTTCCTGAAGATTTAATGTATTACTGAGATATAATAAGCTGTGAAAAGCTATTAGAAGGAAAGCTTTGAACACTGAATTAAGAGCTGCCCCTACCAAGCAAAAAACAAAAGATAAATGCTACATATTTTTGAAGTGCCACAAAAGATAACTGAGCACTTGCATTCCTTCACATAAAATATAGTCCTAAAATAGTAAATATTTTTTTTCTTCACAGAGTATTTAAAGTAGAAAGCACAAACAGTTTTCAGCACTGGGAGGATGCAATTTCTGCCCACTGCCCTGCCTCAGTCCAAAAATTTCCAGATCACTTTATTTAAGGGCCCCTGTTGATAATACATGTTTTCTGAAATGATTAATACAGCTAGGTGTGGAAGAGGATGTCCATCCACACCAAGTTACTGGCACATAACTTCTAGATCAACATTCATTACCAAATGGATACTTATCCCCAATTAATTTTGGGCTCTACAGTGCATTTAAAAACCAAAATAAACATCTTGTTCAGAATGCTTTTCAGTAACAGCACCAGAATTCTGCAAACAGATCTTTAAACTAGCACTTCTCAACATAAGAGGTTTGCTCCCTCCTACCACTTCAGTCTTCCAGCAGTCACCACTTGATCTGTGAACACCTTTGTGCATATCCCTGACTGACAGCAATCCTCCCCCCCGCCCGAGCAACCTCCTGGTCTTCCAACCTTGCAACGGCACAGCCGTTTGGTTCAGACACAGAAGGGAATTAATCAGGCTGAAAAATAGTCCAAGAGGAAGATTTGTTTCAGCTGGATCAGTTAGCTCCTTGATCTGTTTTGCCACACAGCAGCCGGCAAGGAGGAACAGAAGGTAAAAGAAACTGCTTAAGCAAGGCAGCCACTGAACACAAAACTACAGTGTGGTGTTATAGAAATATATACACTAAGTCCTTGACTTTTCAGAGTAATTATATCAACTAAGTATCTTTCACCGACACTACAGTCATTGTCAAAAAGAATGTACACAAATAAAAGAGACTGTGGCTGTATTTTGATACAAATACACCTTGTAAAGGGAGCACTGAATGCTTCTTTGAATGCAGCTCATCTTTTCATGAGGACAGCCAGAAAGGACCTTTATCAAACTGAAAGGCCAATTTTCAGCTCCATATAAACAAGGGGATTCTTGAAAGATTTGAAAACTGGATGTCTAGATTCTTAAATCATAGTAAAATTTGTTTTCAGAATTCATGGCAAAACTGTGGTGAATTTCACAGCAGGCAAGCAACATAAGTAGTCTCAACTGGATTTTTAAAGAGCTTTCAAAAGATCTTTCCATTACATAAACAGACGCCTGTTTCTGCAGGTTTCGAATTAAGGACTATGGGTTTTTTCTAAAGGGAACATTTAGAGCAATAAAATAGATTTAGCCTTTATTAAAAAAATTGGAGCAAAAGAAGATTGGTCTAATTTCCAAAATGATACATTACATTTATTATTACATATATTAAATACAACATACAGTAAAACTATATACATAGAGCCCTTTTCTTCCCCACCCAAATAGCACACCGTACTTTTCAGCAAATTATTAGGAAGGATAATTTGTATTTGTCCAGATCATGTATTTGTCCAGATCATGTATTTGTCCAGATCTGAAGACTGATCCAGACTGGATCAGTCTTCAGAAATGAGGAGGTGAACATGTACATTCCATGCATCTTTTAAACAATAAGCATCCAAACAATTTAGGCAGTTCAGGAAGGATAAAAAAACAAACCAAAACATATATACAGTAAATAAATAGCCAGGTAGGATTATGATCTCAAATACTAATGTATTAGCTTATTGTTTAAGAAAACAAACAAATAATACATGAAATAAACACACCAATTCATTTCAGGTAAGTAACAGACAGAAAATAAATTCAGTTGTTACCACCTCCAAACATTTATTCCCCAATATTAGCATAACAATTCACTAATGTAACAATTTTACCTAAAGCACTTGTAGAGGAGCTTATACCTGTACACAGATAAAACCAGCAAGCACGCTGGTCCCTAAAGAGCAGGGTTAAACTTAAAACACAAAAACCATACACAAAAGGCAACTCTACTTCTGTCCAGAACAAGCACAACTATAGCACTTGGAACAGTATTAGATCACCTCACTAGTATTTCTGACCGAGAAGTCTCCATGAAGTATATGATAGCCCTCAAGATTACTTTGAATCCTTATACAAGCCAATGGTCAAAAATCTTGGGAACTTTTGCAGTGGAAGAGATCGTTAAAATTCCTTGTTTCATAGTATGACTTTGTACACCCTCTGCGACTCTGAATTAGTCTTGGTTCAGCAGATGCTTCTCTCTCTCTTCTCCTATCATACTTTTGCCCAGCTGGCCCCCCTGAAAACTACCAAGATCTGGCAGGCAGCCTGCAATGTGTCTGGTCCCTGCCCTGGCATTACATATCCTGCAGAGCTCCAGAACAGCACCCTACTGTCAAACTAGCCTATGTTCACATCTTCAAATCAAACAGGGCAAAAATGCAAGATGGCTGCTCCCACAGACCGAGATCAAGGCAGGGGACTATCTGAAATTCAACATTTTTATTAATTACTATTCAAAGAATAAAGAGTTTCCTTCATTATATACAAGGAATTCTCAAGTAAGTCAGTGAACTCACTTTGACAGTATCCCTTAACAGGTTTGGCTCAGCTTCATTTCATGTTACAGTTTAAACCATTTCTAATACACTGATATACCTGTAGGCACAAACAGACGCACATCATGTACTATTCGGGCCTAGAACTGTATTTGCTGGCATCTCTAGAACTGAGACTAGTTCTCCTGTGACCTGCAAGACCATCACTGGTTAAGTCTCCACACCTGTAAGTAAAACCCAGCTGCAGTTAGCAAGCTTGCTCAATTCCACATGCACATGCCCTAGGGCAAGTAATACTTTCCATCCCCGAACAAGCTTAACACCCTTTGTGTTTATATTATCAGATAGGCCAAAGCGTGTAGAATTTTTCAATTGTTTGAAAGCCTTCAGCAAGCCTGTTCTCTACAACACTGAGATCTAAAACGACACAATCTGTCCAAAACCATTACTGTAGCTGGGGGGTGGAATAAATAATCAAGGGACATTTATTTTTGTAGGTTATTAGAGGAGCTCAGGTCAAACTTCACTGATGGAACTACTCCAAGCAGAAAGGCATAAAGAAACACACTTTGGGAGGAAAACTGGAGGTAACAACACAGAGAAACCAAAGAGCAAAAGAAATTCTGCAAAGAGACAGTGGCTCCTTTTGCAAGAAACACAAGAATTCAAAGGCAAAGGAATCAAAGACGCTGCCGGTCACCCCCCAGCTCCCGGATCCGGAGCAGTTACATTATCCCAGAGGAGTATTTTTATGCTTTAAGAGGCATTTTTAGGAGCAAAGTCATGGCAGTTGACCACGGAAGGTCGCATTCCCCCCACCTCTCCTGCAGAACCCTCCTTCCCCGCAGCCGAGAGACCATCCCGGCCTGCCCGGGTGCCCCCGCTCCCAGGAGGAGGAGGAGGAGCCCCGCGCCGAGCCTCCTGCCCCTCCTGCCACACCAACAAAGAGGCCCCCGCCATTATCCACCCGCACATCCCCCGACCCCCAGCCCCGAGCACACACGGCAGGTCACCGGGCCGGAGAGCCCCGCACCGCCGCCCGCTCCGGGGCAAGGGCACGGGCCGTCCCCGGCTCCTTCCCGCCCGCTGCCCGTCGGAACATAAACAAAACGCCGCGGCCGGGATCGGCCCCAGCGGCGGCGGCGGCGGCGGCGGCTGCTGCTGCTGCTGCTGCTGCTGCTGCTGCTGCTGCTGCTGCCGCCGCCGCCGCCGACCCTCCCTCCTTCCCTCCCTCCATCCCTTCCACCCACCCGGCTCTCGCCCCGCGCCCCCTCCGCCCACCGCCGCTCCCGCGGGGCCGCGGCTCCGCTCACCGCCCGCCGCCTCCGGCCTCAGCCGCTGAGTAATGAGCCGGGGCCGGGCCGCGCTCACGCACCACGCTCCGCCCGCCGCGGCTGCGGCTGCGGCTGCACCGCCCCCTGCGCTCGCCCCGCCTGGCGCTGCCCCGAGCCCGGCCCCGCCCGGGCCCCGCCGAGGCACTGCGGACCTCCTGCTGCCCCAGGGCCGGGGGTCGCGCTACCCTTCCCCTGGAGCGGTCCCTTTCCTGAATGGCGCCCGGTGGGCGGGCCTCTCTTCCTGCTGGGGCTCTCGTAAAATATTTGCGTGTCTCCGGGCCTTTGCCCCCGCGCTCTTCGCCGGGGCGCCGGCACCCAGCCGTCGTACTCTGGCACCGGTGCTGCCAGGCGTCCTTCGCGGCCTCGGCAGCTCCGGGCAGCTCCGAGCTTCTCGCGGCAGGCCTGGCATGGCAGCCTTTATCTCATTGTTGGGCGTCTGGAGTGGTGTAGCCTTTTATTGTTCTGTATCTCCGCTGGCGGTGGTCTTCCTCTAAATCTTCAGTACCTCTCTGTGGGATTTTGAGTTTTTCGTTACCATTGCCTTTGGTTTCTGACACCTGACACGAGTACTTGGATTTTCAGTATTTTCCTTGGCATATAATCGGTTTTGGTGTTGTTTTGGGTTATTCGTTTGGGGTTTTGTGGTTTTGTTTGTTTGTTTTTTGGGGGTTTTGTTTGTTTGGGCTTTGGGGTTTTGTTGTTATTTGGGCGGAAGTGTTGGGGTTTTTTTAGTCTTCCCCCGCCCCCAATGTCCCTGCTTAGACACAAATGGAGGCCACTCAGCACCCTGAAGCAAGCCTTTGTGTATTTTTACTACATAGTACAAAAAAACGCTTATGAGCAGTATTTTAAAGATATATAAAATCTGCCAGTTAGGCAGAGGGTACTGTGAAAATGGACATTTCAGATTTAATTTGTCATCAAACATGTGGCTTGTGTCACATTTTTGAAGATGCCAAACATTCTACCAAGATTGTTGTTGATAATAGCTTTTATCCCTCTTTAATAAGCATGGACTTTTACATGGTAAAGTAGTGCTTCAGAATATTCCAGTTTTGTCTACTATCTTCGCATTAAAAGCTTCACCTCCATAAACTATCCGTGTACATATTCATATGCCCATTTTAGTGAGATCTTTGCACACTGCCCTTAAAATTCTCAATTTAAGCAAGCCCACTTTCGTTCCATATGTTAGAGTGGTTTTATTACAGATCCTAAGGACATATATGTAATCCCGCCTTTATATCTATTAAAAAAAAAAAAAAAAGATCATTTCTGTGGGACAGACCCCAAACAGAATTAGCCATTACATATGCTACAGGCAAAGTTCAGCTGGCAGAAGGGGCAGTACGAATCCCCAAAATACACTGCAAGCAAAATTTAATCTGGATGGGTCACATTCATCTTGGCCAGCAGATTAAACCAGCCTGCTGGTTATGGCTGATGGAGGTCATGGCACCTTCAGATGTTTTTTTCCATTGGCAAATAGACCTCCGGTGTTAACCTCTGGTCTTCTCTGCACAGCCAGAAGCAGGCAAAGTGACATCATGTTTGGCCAGTTCAGTTATTTGCAACAAGTCCCATGGCCTTCCAGGACTGATGGTACTCCTAGTGTTCTTGAGAGTCATTGTTCCTGATCGTTCCATCTGAAGTAAGACTGCACTGAGATTTGCAAGTGAAAAAGGACAACAGTTCCTTTAAGGTATAAAATAGTGTCTTGCTTAGGATCCAGATTTGTTGCATTTCTTCTTTTTAGGCATAATAAAACTCTCATTAGATTTTATAGTTGACAAAGCTGATGCTTTTAGACAGAGATATATGTGGGTACTCAGGGCGGCCAGTTTTTCCAAGCTGAGACACTCATATGTGATTTTTAAAACTAGTCCTTACAGCCTTGTATACCGTAAGCATCTATTGCCATTTTGAATACAGAGCTGATAAGCAACAGAAATAATGATTCAGGAATTATACAAAAAGATCAGATTGGTATCGTTGCAAAGCATGATGGAGGAGCTTTATTTATTTGAATAGAGAATCCAAAATATGTAAAGATTTTATGAAGGAAAAATGCGAAAGGAAGTATTTCATACCCTAAATTTGTCACTTACCAATATAATGGTTTTAAAAATAAAGATAATATGATAGATTGGCTGTAAAGTTCCTCTACATTATGCAACATTTACAAGACATTGAAATAATACCTCTTTAAGCAAGGAAAAAGGTTTCTTTGATTTGGTGTATAATTTTTCAAAAACAAGTCCCTATATAAGAAAAGGGAACTTTGAGAATGTCATTGAGCATCACTATAGTATTGTTTTTGAAACTGCTTTGCAGAAGTATTTTCTTACAAGCATTATGGTTACACTCCTGTATTGCATATGTCTGGATGAAAACTCTTTTTCTGGACTGTCCTGAATGATATCCAAGAAAATACAAAACTAAATTCCTGATATCTGTTAAAGTAAACGGGTATTTTGCAACAGGCTTCAACAGACTCAGCATTTTGCTCTGGACCTCTCAACAGGTTAGAAGGATACAGTAGAGAGCAGGAGTATGGATCCATTGTGACAGAATGTACAGGCAGCCAGACAGAAGATTCATATTTGGTCATAGAGGATCAGTAGCAGAAGTGGAATAAAAGTTTTGCAGAACAATATTAAGAGAAAATACTATAGAAGGAATTTTGGCTACCTGCAGGGGCCCAGGTCTTTGCAGCAAGGACTTTTGGATGTGGGCCTGCTGAGGCCACAGAATGGCATAAACTTGACAGGATTTTGGGTGATAGGTTTGACAATAAAGGTGCATTTTCTTACAGTGGCCAGTGAGAAAATCTGAAAGCTGGTGTCTGCTTTGCAAAATAATGGGAATCACCAACCTCAGAACTTGAATCTTTTTTCCAAAATAAACATGAAATTTTATATATAAGAAGAATGTAATGAGCAAGTTTATTTAGTAATAGAAACTCCAAAATTAAGGTAATGAACAATCTGAAGCATGAAAATTCTCCTCTGCCTACACGTAATTGTTAATCATTCTCTCCTCAGTGTCAGTGTTCATCTAGCAGTAGTCTTGGATTTGGACTGCTGCTTTAAAATAAGCAGTTGTTGAGTGCTTAATAAATGTTTGGATTTTAAAAATGCCAGTAAAATCTGAATTATGTCAAAATACTGCAAGCTTTTTCACTCCCATGCACTGATATACAAGTATGTTTATGAAATCATATTAAAATGTTTGGATTCAGCAGTCATGACATTACATTAAAATGTAGTTTTGTAATTTTTTAATATTTTCATTAAGTTGTTATCAATTACCACACTCTTGGCAATAAACAAAGTTTAAGTATATTGATGTTTATAAACTGCAAAACAAACAATTCAGGCTGAAATCTTTGGAGTCAAGGCAATGGGTCTGAACGTCTGACCCAAATTCTGAAGTGTAAAAATCAAAATGTTAAAAATTAGATCCTGTAGCATAAAATAACAGGCCAAAAGATAGAAGGAGTAGTCATTTTTGTCCACAAAACAGCCATAGTAAAGAATACTGATTTATTTTTGCACCAAAATGGATTAGCATAATGCAACAGAGTAAGTCAGTGGAGTGGGACTGTAGTGAACAGACACAAGGTGGTAAATGCTTAAACCACAATAGTTGTTTTTCAAGTAAATATCTGATTATCCCTACAGTCATTTTTAGACAAACTGAAAATAGAATAAAGATATTCCAGGCATGTGCCCTTGCAGAACCGCTTCACTGCTCTGCAGTCTGAAGAGGAAAGACCTGTCACATCAGAAGAGATGCTGGAGGTAAGGTAGCCCCATCTGCTCCCCCAATAACAACCTGTGCTCCTGAGAAAAGGTGACAGGTGACAGCAGGAGATGACTCTCTTTGCAAGGCGCTCGTTTGACGTGCTCTGTAGAGAGGTGAGCTGCTCACAAGGGTGGCACCAAGAGACTGCCAGGACCTTGTACAGTCCACTGGCTATTTTCTGCTGCTGTTTGCTCATGTGGGCACCTGTGATACAGCTGTGATATAGCTGTGGTACAGCTAGAAGCAGTCTGGGGAGTACCAAGAACTATTACAGAGCCCTGAGAGTGGCATTTAGTAACTCTGGAGTGCAGGCAGTTTTTTTCATCAGTCCTCCTGGTCGAAGAGAGATGTTTGAAAGGGCCAGTTGAATCTGGAAACAAGATGGTTACAGAACTGGTGCCACAGCCAGAGGTTTGGCTGCTTTGGCCAAGGGACTCACTTTGAGAAACCTGGTCTGCTGGGGGGCTGGTGGGAACCATCTGTTAGAGAAGGGGAAGAGCAACTTCAGTCATGGGCTTGACAAGGGATTGAAGAGGGCCCTAAACTAAGTTTAGGCCAGGGAGTGGAATCTCAATCCATCTCACTCCTACCAGTTTGATGCCAGTGCCTGAAGAGAGATTACAGGCCAGCCAAAGAACACCTGAAGAGCAGCACAAAGGAATTCTGTCCCACCAGATCTCTGTGATGCCAATAGGATCACAGCCCTGTAGGCATGTGCATGTCTCTAACTCTTCTTGTTTATTCCCCATGTAAAGGCATTTATGTTCAGCCCCCAATGAAACCAACTTTCATTCCAAAGTCGGAATTTTATGTGACTTCTCAGGCTGAGCCACCCGTGCATACATGCAGCCTCTGTAATTCTATCATTCTATATTATAGTCATTTATACATTTATACATATCATCATCACCTGGGTACCCTGCAGCACTGAAAACCAAGTTCTAGAAATTAAACCCTCTCCTCATCTCACTAATTACTTCACTAAGAAGAGATCAATAGGAATTGTGGGTAGTCAGGGTGGCCAGTTTTTCCAAGCTGAGACTTGAAATGTCACAACCAGGATCAACACTCATGTCCCCTTGTGAAAACAGGTGAAATCAAAATATTGTTTGTTAAGGGAGATAGATATACATGGAAAGAAATTCCAGACTATGAAATGTTTTACAAAATGATGGAAGTAATACAAATGTTTATGTGAAAGATATTTGGTAATAATATCTTTTCTGAAACATTTTTGTTTACCATTGGTTATGGCAAAGAAGCTGC